TTAGAGATCTGAAAATTCTTACAATGTCAATTAGAGCTTCCTCCAGGAAATGACGTGTTACTTCCACTCACAATTTATTGGCCATAACTAGTTAGTTACATAGGCCCACCCAGTCATAGTCAGGACAGGAAATGCAGTCCTATCATATGCCCAGAAAGAGAGAGAAATAGAAATACTTAGGCCACAGGACTAATGACTACAGCAGTGCTTTATTTCCCAAATAAATGCCCATTAAAGCTTTATAATAACCACCTTGGCACAATTGTTCTTTATACTAACCATAGAAAGAAATAAACTCACCTGAAGTAGCTTGGAGTCTCCTTTCACTTCAGATAAATCTTGAGATATCAGGAGAGGTTCGCTTTTCTCACAGCTCTCCTGGCTGATAAGCGTGTCTGCATAGTTGGGCTGGGGAAAGATCAGGTGACTCTCCTGCGAGTCCGCGGTGAGGGAGACCTCGTGGGAATAAGTCTGCAGGAAAGCCTGCACCCCGTCCACACCCACAAAGTGCGTGGCGGGCACGCCGGTCAAACCGCCGCTGGTGGGCTGAAGCAGGCGAGACTTGTGCCAGCGCCGCACCCTGAGCGCCAGCAGCATGATGACAAACGAGAGGAAGACGCAGGAGACAGCGGCCACTGCCACTACCAAGCACAGTGTGAGGTCAGAGGCATCAGAGTCATGGGAGGGCTCGAGACTGCCTAGGTTGGCCAGGACGTCGGGGATGCTGTCGGCCACGGCCACAGTGAGGGTGATGGTGGTGGATAGAGGGGGCTGGCCGTGGTCCTGGACGGCCACCACAAGGCTCTGCTTGAGCGCATCCCTGTCCTGCAGGGCCCGCGCCGTCCGCACCTCGCCCGTGTGCACCCCCACCGCGAAGAGACCTGGCTCGCTGGCCTTGAGCAGGCGGTAGGACAGCCAGGCGTTCTGACCTGAGTCGTGGTCCACAGCCACCACCTTGGTCACCAGGTAGCCGGGTTCTGCGGAGCGGGGCGCCAGCTCTACGCCGGTGGAGCCGTCAGTGGGGAGGGTGGGGTACAGGATCTCGGGGACGTTATCGTTCTGGTCCAGCACGAACAGTCTAAGCGATACGTTGTTGCTGAGTGGTGGGTCCCCGTTGTCGCTAGCAGTCACCCACAACTGCAGCTGTCGGAACTGCTCGTAGTCGAAGGAGCACAGGGCATACAGGATGCCGGTGTCAGAGTTGATAGAGACGTAGGAAGAGAGAGGCGCCCCCTGTAGGGTGTCCTCGGTCAGTGCATAAGTGATGCGCGCGTTGTCGTCCCTATCAGGGTCATGAGCGGCCACAGAGAAGATGGAGGTACCTCTGGGGTTGTTTTCAGGAATGTAGGTGGAGTAGGAGGCATGAGCAAACGCGGGTGGGTTATCATTGATATCTGTCACATGCAGGGTGATGTGCATTTCCGTAGACAGGGACGGAGTTCCTCCGTCTGTGGCTTTCAGAGTGAGATTATATTCGGACACCTGTTCACGGTCCAGGGATCTGGCTGTCACTAAGCGGTAATACTGATCTATAGATTTTTCTAAATTAAATGGCAGATTTCCGAGGACAAAAACTGTGACTTGCCCATTCTGCCCCGAATCTCGGTCATGCACGTTGATAAGGGCAATTTCTCTTCCAGCGGTAGCCTCTTCTGGAACTGAATCTGTAAGAGAAGTGATTGTAACTTCTGGGGCATTGTCATTCACATCCAGAACTGTGACTAGAATCTTGGCTCTTGAAAAAAGACCTGGTCCATCTTTGGCTTCAATTTTAATTTCATAAAACATAGCATCTTCATAATCTAGACTCTGCAATATTGACATATCTCCAGTCACTGAGTCGAGATCGAAAATCTGAGCGATTTTCCCAGGCATTTTATCTAGGATATAGGACACTTGAGCGTTGAATCCCTCGTCAGGGTCAGTGGCATTCACCCTGAGCAAGTGGGTGCCCACCGACACGTTTTCCGGAACACTTACATGGTACTCTGGCTGAGTAAACGTTGGCGGGTTGTCGTTTGCGTCCAGAACTATTACTTGGATGTACAAGTTGCCAGAGCGGACAGGGTCGCCACCATCAGAGGCAGAGAGGATAAGTTGGTGAACATCCTGCTCCTCCCGGTCCAGGGCCCGCTCCAGGACCAGCTCCGGGTACTTGGACCCACCAGAAACGCTGGTCACAGCCAGCGAGAAGTAGGCTTCGGAGCTGAGCTGGTAGTTCTGCAGGGAGTTCATGCCCACATCTGGGTCAAATGCAGTCTTAAGTGGAAACCGGGTTCCAGGAGCTGTTAGTTCACCAATTTGTATTTCCAATTCCTCTTTTAGAAAACCAGGAGCATTATCATTAATGTCTTTAATTTCTATTTCCACTTCAAAAATTTTCAATTTGTCCTCAATCAGGATATTAAATTTTACCAGACACTGCGCGCTCTGAGCGCAGAGCTCCTCCCGGTCTATCCTGTCCGCGGTGATCAGGCTGCCGCTTCGCGGGTTCAGAGAGAAAAGCTGTGTCCTACCTCTGGAGACGATGCGGACTCCGTGCTTCTCCAGCTCCCGGGGCTCCATCCCCAGGTCCTTGGCGATGTTCCCCACGAAGGAGCCTTTGTCCAGCTCCTCCTGCACCGAATAGTGGATCTGCCCGTATCCGGTCTCCCACAGCGTCCCCAGGAGGGTGCATAGCAAGGCCAGTCCTCTGCCTTTCCGGAATCTCAGGCAAGTCGTCATTTCGTTTTTTGGTGAATTGTTTTTTTCTGAATTCGGTTCCAGTTTCCCACAAAGGACTCCAATCTTATTTCCTTAGGGAACTAAGTCTTTATGGATCCAGTTCATAGGTCACAGAGCCAATTGACTGACGGGGTGACTTTCCTAGCAGCCCCAAATCTTCTGAGTCTGACTTGCTGGTTCTTTGCGTTTTAGGAGCAAGGAAATGGTCGCCTAGCTCTCCAGCTGCGTTTTCCTTCTTGAGTAGTCAACAGCGACGCTCAGAGGACTAACCGTTTACTGCACCCTTTCAGACAAACCCAAGTTACTTTTTCTTTTTCTTTTTTAGTTTCTCTACACTCAAAATCCTTTTTGCTAGAGGTAATAAGACTGGTGTTTATTTCACATAAGGGAATTGATATATGTTAAAGTGTGTGACCTAAAATTAGCCTCTTTGGGAAGTCATACACTAACCTTAATGTCAGCAGTATTGCTCCAAACATGGTACAGTTACTGTTTTGAGATGTTCAGACAAACTTTAAGAACCACAGAGAAATATCAAACATATTTACAGGTTATACCTCTTGAAGTTTGTCCTTGATAGCCTGACATCTTAGTTTCAATATCTGTTACTTAACCTATTCACTAAACAAACACATAATTGGGAATCTACTCTGTCAGACAAACTTGTGACAGTGGGAATTTAAGGTGAACAATATGGACACAGCCACTTCCTTCACAGAGTTTATGAAGGGTATAAAAGTAAACAGGGAATTACAGTTCAGTGAAATAACTCCTCTAATGGGAGACGCCGAAGGTGATGGGAGGACCCCAACCTGGCCTTGGAGATTAGCAAAGGCTTTTCCAAGGAGTGTGAGAGGAGTAGATCAGGGAAAAGGCTGAAACATTGGAGAGAACAGCAATGGTAACGCCTAGATGTGAGAGAGAAGAGTCAGAGACCTTCAGGGTACTGACAGAAGTCCACTTTGCCTAAATCTAGAGCGCGAAGAATTTTTTTTTAAGCCATAACTGAAACTAGCAAAGATAAACTTTCATTTTATGTTCCAGAGTTCTTTCCCTGTATTTACTTTCCTCTCCAAGCACAGAAATAGAAATACAATATATTTGTTATATCAATCATGATGCACCACACACCTATGCATAAGGTACTTTTTCTGATGAAGAGTTACTACGCATGCTAATAGAGGCACTGTCTTTAATGTTCTTTAGTTTGGACTTTTTTTTATTACTTTACTTACAAGTAAAGATCTTATGATATATTGTTCCACAGTATGTTCAATTTTTACCTCATAGAGAATTATGCAACAGCAATGAACACAATGGAATACATTACCTCCAAAAAATTTTACCTTATCAGATGCTCCTAAATACAGTAAAGAATCACATCATCTCAAGATGATGACACCATTAGATACAAGGCTCATGTAGTAGTACATTATTAGCATTAAATGAAAATGAAAAAAGTTCTCATTATACAGAATAGTAGTATGTTCTCTGTTCTTAAATGTAAAACTAACATATTAAAAGACAACACAGGAAGATGAATGGGGAAGGAAAACAGTGTGGTTGTAAGGGGGAATGGGGGTGGTTGAGGGACTGGAAATATTTTTAGCAGCTGTTGTGAGTGGGAAACTTTGAGAAGAGGGTGTATAAAGAGGATCTTTAAGAGCAATTGTCTGATGTGGTCTCCAAATCCCTTGTATCCTTTCTTTAAGCAAAGTTCTATTAAAGATAGGTTATGTTTAAGGATAAAAGGCAATATGATTTCCATATATGAGAAAAATAAAAAGAATCAACAAAGAGTAATCTGTTTACTATTACCCTACCAACTTATTATAAACGATAACTCAGTCACCTCTTGAAGGAACACATAGCCATTTAGAGACTGTGATGAGATTTTTACTAAGCAGAGATACCATTACAAGTCTTCCTGAAACGCTACAAAGAATGTATATTTCTAATCTTCTATCTTTTTCATAACAGGGAAGGGCATGCAAATTAAGTAAAAGAAAGAGCTTCACTTTTAAACTGAAGGAAAAAATTAACACCGAGTGAGAAGAAACTAACCAACTAAGGCCTTTCACTATTCATAGAAGAAATTCAAATATAAAAGCCTTAAATTTTTAAGGAGGAAGAGGTTTGAGAAAACATAAAATCCAACTTCGTATTTTTAAGAAAGAAATAATTGTAGACCCAGGTGGACGAGATGATTTACTCAGGGATAGAAACTCCATGCTAGTGCACTGCTCCCTTGACAGCCTTAATATCACCTTCACCTGTTCCGATTGGCACATTCTACAATGATTCTAATCCCTCCTCTTCTTACATTCTGTGGACACTTAAAACTATTTGGAAATAATTCATCAGGACTCATTTTCTAAAAGTTGAATATATTCTCAAGGAAATACAGGAAATAGAGGAGACAGTAAAAGGTGGCGGTAGCTAAGTTAAGTAAAATGGGAAATTTATTTGTTTTAGCAAACTATCTCCTAAATACATTGCGAAGAGCTAGTTTACCTGAGAAACGGTTTCTTTTCCTTTGCCTTCAAGTAGAGATTGAGATGCCGACAGAAAATCCTTTTTCTCACAGCTCTCCTGGCTGATGAGCGCATCGGCCTAGTTGGGCTGAGGGAAGATCAGGTGACTCTTCCGCGAGTCGGCGGTGAGGGAGACCTCGTGGGAATAGGTTTGCAGGAAGGCTTGAACCCCATCCATGCCCACAAAGCGCTTGGCGGCCGTGGCGGCCGTACCGCCGCTGGCGGTCTGAAGCTGCCGAGGTTTGTGCCAGCGCCGCACCCTGAGCGCCAGGAGCACAATGACAAAGGCGAGGAAGACACAGGAGATCGCGGTCACAGCCACCACCAGGTACAGCGTGAGGTCGGAGGCGTCAGGGTCGTGGGAGGGCTCGAGGCTGTCTAGGTCGGCCAGGAGGTCGGGGATGCTGTCCGCCACTGCCACGGTGAGCGTGACCGTGGCCGAAAGAGGAGGCTGGCCGTGGTCCTGGGCCTCCCCCGTGTGCACACCCACAGCGAAGAGCCCTGGCTCGCTGGCCTTGAGCAGGCGGTAGGACAGCCAGGCGTTCTGACCTGAGTCGCGGTCCACAGCCACCACGTTGGTCACCAGGTAGCCGGGCTCTGCAGAGCTTGCTGCCAGCTCCACGCCAGTGGACCCGTCAGTGGGGAGGGAAGGGTACAGGATCTCGGGCATGTTGTCATTCTAGTCCAGCACAATCAGGCTTAGAGACACATTGCTGCTGAGGGGTGGGTCCCCTTTGTCCCTTGCTGTCACCCACAGCTGCAGGTCTTGGAACTGCTCAAAGTCAAAGGAGCACAGCGTATAGGACTCCTGTGTCAGAGTTCATGGAGACATAGGAGGACATGGGTGCCCCCTGGATGGTTTCCTAGGCCAAGGAATAAGTTACCCGGGCGTTGTTGTCGCTGTCGGGGTCATGGGCCGTCACAGAAAAGATCGAGGCACCTCTGAGATTGTTTTCGGGAATGTAGGCAGAATAGGATGTGTGAGGGAAGGCAGGCGGGTTGTCATTGATGTCTGTCACCTGCAGTAAAACTTGAGTATCTGTGGCCAGAGATGGGTTCCCTCCATTTTTAGCCGTCACAGTGATGTCGTCAGAGGAAATCTGTTCCCTGTCCAGGGGTTTAGCTGTAACAAGTCGGTGGTAATTGTCCACTGACCTTTCTAACTTAAAGGGAAGGTTCTCCGGGAGTGAACATGCCATAAATGCGTTCTGCCCAGAGTCTCTGTCATGTACATTGAAAAGTGCAATTATGGTTCCTGGGGGAGAGTCTTCAGGAACTGAGCTAGTAGCAGATGTCATGTAAAATTCTGGGGCATTGTCATTCACGTCCAGAACTGTGACAATGACCTTCGTTCTGGTCAGAAGGCCCGGACCATCCTGAGTTTCAATATCAATTTCACGGAATTTGGCATCTTCATAATGTAGATTTTTTATGATCACTATAGCTCCAGATGTCGACCTAAGCTCAAATATCTCTGCGGTTTCTCCAGGTTTTTTTTCTCTTGAAAATATGCTACTTGAGCGTTGTATCCCTCATCTGCGTCAGTGGCGGTTACCGTGAGTATCCAGATACCTACAGGCATATTCTCCGGAACACTTACAGGGTACTCAGGCTGAGAAAAAACAGGCGCGTTGTCGTTCACATCCAGGACTGTCACGCGGATTCGTGAGGTGCCGGATCGGACAGGGTCGCCCCGGTCGGAAGCCAAGAGTGGTGAACAGCCTCTTCTTCGCGGTCCAGGGCGCGCTGCAGCACCAGCTCCGGGGACTTGATCCCCTCCGCACCGCTTCGCACATCCAGAGAGAGGTGGTCATTTGGGTTGAGTTCGTACTTCTGGAGGGCGTTCTCTCCTACGTCCGCATCATGAGAACTCTTCAGAGGAATCCGGAATCCTGGTGTAGTAGTTTCACTAACTTTTAGTTCCAATTCTTCTACTCCAAAGCGAGGGGCGTTATCGTTAATATCTGTTATTTCCACCTCTAGTGAATAAATATTCAGTTTATCTTCCAGTAGTATGTTAAAATTAATCAAAAAGCGCGCGCGCTGAGCGCGGAGCTCCTCCCGGTCTATCCTGCCCCCCGTGATCAAGCTGCCCATTCGCGGGTTCAGAGAGAAAAGCTGCGTCCTGCCTCTGGAGATGATGCGGACTCCCCGCTCTGCCAGTACCAGGGGCTCCAACCCCAAGTCTTTGGCCATGTTGCCCACGAAAGAGCCTTTGTCGATCTCTTCTGGCACAGAATAGCGCATCTGCCCAGCCGCGGCCTCCCACAGGGCCGCCAAAAGAAAGCATGGCAGCGCCAGCCTTCTGCAGGGTGGGAATTTTTTTCTGAGCCGCCATTTCTCTCTGCTGCAGTCTTTTTCTCCGAGTCAAGTTCCAGCATCCAGGGCGGGATTCCAATCTTTATTCCTCAGAGTCCCAGGTGACCAGCATTCACGGATCTAGATCACTCTGGAGAAATCTAGTGGGGCTGCTAGGCTGAACTTCTTTGTCGCCCGGAAACTTGTGTGGCCAAATTAGCAGCCCTTTGTGTAGTGACAGCCGGAAGGTTGGGCTGGATGCCTCGCTGCCTTTTACTCCTTAGGTGGTCAACAGCGACGCTCAGAGGTCTAACTCATTTCTGCACTAGCTCAGGCAAACCCCAGTTACTTGTTTACGTTCCCCTTGTGGTTTTCAGGTTTCTTTAAAGAATCATGGCGTTCTAAGATATGGTAAAAGTAGCTCTTTCAAGGCAGGGATCTTTTTCTCAGCATTAATAAGAATGGTGTAAACGAGTGTGACTTTGATGTTAGTTACTACGAAAGTATTATTCAAGGCCCCAGTTACCCTTGCTCCAAACATCTTCCACCTCTTGTTTTGTATTTGGAGACAGTAAGATCAATTCAAAATCACTAGCTACATTATCTTACAAGGTTACATCTTTTGAATTTCTGTGCTTGGTGGCTGGCATTTAACTTCAAAATCTGTATTTATATTTTGAAACATCAAATACTTATTTGGGTGACTATCATTTGTAGAGAGTCAGCAAAAAAGAGGAAGACCCTCGATGAGATGGAATGACAGAGTGGTTGCAAAAATGGGCTCAAACATAGCAATGATTGTGCGGATGGTGAAGGACTGGGCAGCATTTCGTTCCATTGTACAAAGGGTTGCTATGAATTGGAACTGACTCAAGGGCACCTAACAACAATAATATCATTTGCCTGACACTTTGCTTGATGCTGAAGATACAAAACGGTGAACCTGATGGACACAGTCCCTGTCGTCAGGAAGCTTACAACATAGTGAAGAACACAGAAAAGTCAACATGGTAGTATGATAGAGTATGGTAACTGCTGTGATGGTGGGGAGCACTGGATGCTGGGAGAATACATATCCACCTAGATTTGGGAGACAGGAAAAACTTTCTCAGGACATGATTGAAGCTGAATCCAAAAGGGTAGGATTGGATCAGTAAAGAGGCTGGAGAAGCATTCTAGAACCTTGGTACAAATCCTTAGAGGCAAGAGGAATATTAAGGAAACTGAAAGTGGTTCTGTTGGCTAAAGCTATAGCAGGCAGGGGTTTTTCACCACATGGAAAGTCAGTCACTCAAAGTTGTTTGAAGATGCCAAGTCCTTTTTCTGATATTTAGTGTTTTCTAAGGTTATACAAATACAATATAGTGGGTTTCTTCTTACTCCTGTTTCATTTTATGTACTTATGCATCATAATTTGTTCTTTCAAAAATACATTTTGAAATATTTCAACTATACAGATGAATATAGAAAATACTATAACTAAAATCTGTGTACATACCATTCAACATTATAAAATCTTAACATCTTGCCATATTTAATTGAGATCAGTTTTAAGTTTTTTATTTTGAAATAATTTCAGACTTACAGAAAAGTTGCAGAAATAGTACAAAGAATTCCCATATACTCTCCACCCTTACTAGCTCAAGTTTTAACATTTTACTGTATTTAGTTTCATGTTTTCTCTCCCTCTCTTTCAATATATATATCTTGACATATATATATATGGATATATATATATTTTTTTTTCTTAACTGTTTTTAGAGTAAGTTGCAGGCATGATACCCCCTTACTCCTAAAGTCATCAGTTTGTATTTCCTAAAATTGAGGACATTCTCATTATAGAAATATAATTATCAAAATTAGAAAATTGTCATCAACATAGCACTGTTATCGAATCTATAGATCTTAGCCAAATTTTGCCAGTTGTCACAATCATGTATTTTTATAGCAAAAGAAAAAATCTTTTTCTGGTCTAAGATCCAACCCAGGATCACACATTGCATTTAGTTATGCCTCTTCAGTTGCATTTAATCTGGAGCAGTTCTTCCGTCTTTGTCTTACAAAACTTTATACTTTTGAAGAGTTCTGACCAGTTATTTTGTAGAAGGTCCCTAATTTGGGTTTGTATATATATATATTTTCATGATTAGATTCAGATTATGTAGTTTTGGGCAGGAAATAGTGTTATGTCCTCCTCGGTGTATCATATCAGGAGGCATATGATATCTTTGTCCCATTACTGCTATGTTAACTTTGATCACTTGGTTAAGGTGGTGACTCTAGATTTCTCCATTATAAAATTACTATTTTTTCCTTTGCAATTAATAAGTATCTTGTATGGAGATACTTTGAGACTATATAAATATTCTGTTTCTAAATAAGCTTTCGCCATTGATGATTCTTGCCTGAAATGATTATTACTATGGTTATTGGCGCTGAATTTTAAAAACAAACCTACAGAAAGAGAGTAATTCTTCTAAAACCTTTCCCAGTTATAGTCCCATTCCTCCCTCCCTATGGCAATTACCTCATCTGAATATAGCACTTATTATTTCCATCTATATTTTAACCTTTTTACTGCATATGCATGTATCTATAAAATTTTTGGCCTATTTCTAATTCATACTGTATCATGTCATATTTATTCTGCAATGTACTCTTTGCTCAACATCACATTTTTTTGTTTTATTTATGTTGATAATGTTAGTTTTTAACTGCTGTATAATATTTCATTGTGTGAAAAATACCAAAATTTATTTTCCCATATATCGTTGTCTACTATAACGGTTACAAATAATCTTTCCCAGTTTCTGGATTGTTTTCACTTTGTTTATGGTGCCATTTTAAATATAGAAGTTTAACTTTTAATATTTCTAAAATTACTGATTCTTTGCATTTACAATTTATGATTTTTACCATCTTCTGTGTTTCAAAGCTGTGATACTATCCTATGTCTTCTTCTAAAATATTTAATGTTTTGTTTTTCATGTTTAGTTCTTCATCCTACATGAAATTTATTTTTGTGATTAATGTGAGTTAGGGATCTATTTTTTTCCCACACAAATAGTCATTTCAGAAATCTTTATTGATTATTTCTTACCCTCTGACTTGTAATGCCACTTCTGTTATAGATCAAGTTTGTGTGTGTGTGTACACATTCTTTTTTTTTTTGTGGGCTCTCTATTCTTTGTTGATTGCCATGTCCAGTTTAACAACCAAAACTTTAAGAAAAGTCTTGATTTATGACAGGGCAATTTCCCCCACGTTGTTATTTTTCTTTGAAATTATTTTGGCTGTTCTTATACATTTGCTATTCCATATATATGCATTAGGTTCAAGTATAATAAAAAATACCACTAATACTGTAATTGGAATTGTGTTGAAGTTATAGATTAATTTTTGGAGAGTTGATAAAGCTTTCATAATCTTTAGAATATACAGGTCTTCCTTCATATTCTTCAATAACTTTTCTCTATAAAGTTTTTGAATATGTTTTTGTGAGGTACCTTATAGTCTGTGTTGCTGTTGGAAATGAATTTTTTTTTCTTATTTCTTTTATATACTTGTTACTGGTGAATAGAGAAGCTATTGATTTTAATATGTTGACCTTGTATTTAGCAATGTTATGAAACTCTATTATTCTAATAATTTTGTCTGTAAAATAAGTGGGATATTTCTACATGAAAAAATCACAATGTCTGCAAAGAATAATTTTGTCTTTTACATCTCAATTTTTATATCTTTAACTTCATTTTCTTAGCTATTTGCTTTGGTTAGTTCCTTCAGTATAACATTTAAGAGGTGCTGCAATATCAGCATGCCTGTCTTGCCTTGATTTGAATAGAAATGCTTCTAGATTTTCACCATTATATATGGCATTTTTTTTGTAAGTTTTTATTATTCTTTATCACATTATAAATTTGTTTAATTTAATGGTCCTTTAGTGCTGCATTCTGGGTGAATTTCTCTCACAATCTTCCAGTTCACTAATATTATATTCAGTTGTCTCCAATCTCATTTTCTTCTTTTTTTAAATTGTGGTAAATATGTAAATAAAGCATTTGCCATCTCAACATCTTCACGTGTACGGTTCAGTGACATTAAATATGTTCATCATGTTGTTCAACCAGCATCATTCCCAAATTTTTCCATTACCCTTAACAAAAGTTCAGTGTCCCCTAACCAATCTTATCTCAACTATTGAGTTTTCTTTTTACTTCAGTAACAATAATTCTATTTGTTTTCTAACTATTGCTTTTATGTACTCATAACTTATTGTTTAATATGTTTTTTCTTGTTATAAATATGATTTCTTCATGTATTTTATTGGGCATTGCAACATAGTTATGTGAAGTCTCAGCTTCTCTATAAAATTTATTTCATCTGGTGTAAATTAATGTTCTGGTTGATGTTGCTGTTTTTCTTAGTGTTAGCTTTATTCATTTCATAATTTTGATTTGCACATTTAAGTGAAAGATTAAAAAAACATTTTTTTCCCCTCTCTCTCTTCTACTCTCTTTCCCTCTCTTCCTCCCTCCTGGGTTCAGTGCTCTGTCTTTAATAGTTCTGAAATTGTTCTATCTGACTCCAAGTCCTAGGCCATATCTAAGTCCTTCAGTGGTGTTTTGAGTCTTGCATAGCAGTGTATTCTGAATATCACAGTTCAAGTCTGAGGGGCTCAGTGTTTGTTACCTGAAGTCAGCATCTGTGTCCATCTCTCTCCTGTGGTCTGCAACTTCAAATGAGTTATAACCACAGGAATTGATAGGCAGCATTTTTATGCAAGCCCCCCTCCTTTTTACTAGCTAAGGGGCATCATTGCTTATTTTGGATTCAAGCAGTCCAGCCTAAGGCACTTTTAGTTCCCACTACACAGTTGGAGCCAATCTCATGCTCTGCAATGTCTGTTTTTAAGTCTAAGGCTAGAACTCCCATGACTTTAGTCTGACTCACCACTTTCTGTTCCATCTCTGGTCCATTAACACACTTACCTTCTATTTGTGTCTGACTGCTCTTTTGCTTTCCTCTTTTTATATTTCATCTATCTCTGTAATATCTTGGAGCACAGTAAGTATATAAAAGCATGAACTTACTCCTCTATGATGCATTCCTTCTTGTGAAGAATTAACACACACATTAAAATGGAATATATACATGATTTTTGTTAGTTGTTTTCATTACAGGTAAAATGTTTCAGTCAGAAGGCTTTAAAACTCTTTATCAAGTTGCATGTTAAATTTTCTGTTCATTTTATTACTTCATTTCATAAATTATTTAGACATTAGGTATATACTTCAGCATGCACAAAATATTTCATGAGACTAAACAAAGCTAATATATTCAACAATGTTAAATTTGCAGTGTATATAGATTTCCATAATTTTATATTTGCATGAATAAAAATACTACTTAAGACATTTTTACTCTTAAATGTCCCCCCCTCAAAAAAATTATTATAGTATCCTAACAGATGACATCTACATTAAACTCAAGGGTAAATTAGAAGTTAATAGTAACTTAAGGAAATCTGAAAACAATATCAGTCACGTAAATATTGTTGAGTCTTTTTATTCTTAAATATATGTCAGAATAATTGAAATTCTTTACAATTTCTCAGAATGGGAAAAGTTATAAAACCATCATTGACTATAATGCTGATATAAAGATGAAGAAAAGCCTGCTAACTTGTCCACATAAAGCACTGTATCTATAATTGTTTATTGAATATACTCATTTCTTCAGGGAACAACTGCTTCTTTAGAAGACTGGTATACAAACTTAACATGAGCAGAGTTACACTGTAAGCATCTCCTTGAAATAATTTGACCAATATAAATTCTTAATACTACAATTTTGAAGTTTTACTAGGAAGAAACATATAGAAATGTAACTCTTAACCCATTTCCTGTTTCACATATAAACTCAGGAAACATGTTAAGTTTTAGTGACAAAGGATGATCTAACGGACTCCTTTTGAAGAAGCTGAAAATGAAAAAGGCTGAAGGACATTTATAAGAATCCATTTGAAAACAAGAAGGAATTTGGGAAAATTTTTAGTCCAACCTTATCCTTTGCGGATAAGAGGATGGTAAAACCAGAGCAATAAAATGATTTGGCCAGAGGTAAGCAAGAAGGTATTAGAAGCCAGATCTCCTTGTTGCTAATGCAGTGCTCTTACCACAATGTGGACAGCACTTTCACACGTCAGACTCTTGGCCCTAATCAACCAGATTATGGCTACAACCTCCTTTTTGATGTTAAAACAATTATAAATCTATCTGGATATAAACACACAGATGGGCTTAATAATGATTTTCCAGGACTCGTAACAGAAATCTACAGGTATATATGCGAAATAGAAAAACTGCAGTAAAGAGTGAAAGCAAGTAAGTAAAATCAGGAATTATTTTTTTATGGAGAGAGCATATAAGTTCACTATAAAGAGTTTACCTGAAGTAATGTTTCCTTTTTGTCTTCAAGTAAAGAGTGAGGTGCAGATAGAAAATCCTTTTTCTCATAGCTGTCATGGCTGATGAGCATGTCTGTGTAGCTGGGCTGGGGGAAGATCAGGTGGCTCTTCCGGGAATCTGCGGTGAGGGAGATCTCGTGGGAATAGGTCTGCAGGAAAGCCTGCACGCCGTCCACACCCACAAAGTGAGAGGCGGGCACGTCCGCCAATCCTCTGCTCCTAGTCTGGAGCAGGTGCGATGTGTGCCAGGGCCTAAGCCTGAACGCCATCAGCACAATGACGAAGGCAAGAAAGACGCAGGAGACTGCGGCCACTGCCACTACCAGCTACAGTGTGAGGGTTGAGTCATCCCGGTCGGCAGGGTTTTTGATGCTGCCTAGATCAGCCAGGATATCAGGGATGCTGTCGGCCACGGCCACGGCCACGGTTAGTGTGACGGTGGCTGAGAGAGGAGGCTGGCTGTGGTTCTGGACGGCCACCACCAAGCTCTGCTTGAGCGCGTCTCTGTCCTGCAGGGACCGGGCCGTGCGCACCTCACCTGTGTGCACCTCCACTTTGAAGAGCCCTGGCTCGCTGGCCTTAAGCAGGTGGTAGGACAGCCAGGCGTTCTGCCAGAGTCTCTGTCTACTGCCACTATCTTGGTCACCAGGTGGCCAGGCTCTGCTGAGCGGGGTGCCAGCTCCACTCAGGTGGAACCATCAATGGGGAGGGTGGGGTACAGGATCTCAGGTGCGTTGTCGTTCTGGTCCAGCACAAACAGGGTCAGTGATACGCTGCTGCTGAGCAATGGGTCCCCACTGTCCCTTGCTGTCATCCACAACTTCAGGTCGCAGAAGTGCTCAAAGTCAAAGGAGCGCAGCCCATATAGGACTCCTGTGTCAGAGTTTATGGAGAAGTAGGAGGACAGGGGCACCCCCTGGATGGTGTCCTCAGCCAGGGAGTAAATGATTCGTGCATTCTCATTGCTGTCCGGGTCGTGGGCAGTCACGGAAAAGATGGAGGCACCGCTGGGGTTGTTTCCGGGAATGTAGGCGGAGTAGGACTCCTGAGGGAAGGCAGGCAGGTAGGCGCTGATGTCTGTCACTAGCAGTGAAATGTGAGACTCAGTAGATAGAGATGGAGTTCCCTCATCCGCTGCTGTCATTGCAATGTTGTACTCAGAGGTGAATTCTCTGTCCAGTGTTCTTTCTGTCACTGAACGGTAATAATGATCAACTAACTTTTCTAATTTAAAGGGCAGACTTCCAGAAATGGAACATGTGGTGCGACCATTGTCTCCAGAGTCCTGGTCATGCACACTGATAAGAGCAATTATGGTCCCAGGAGGAAAGTTTTCTGGAACTGCAGTGGAGACAAAGGTGATGGTCACCTCTGGGGCATTATCATTCACATCCAAAACTTTGACCAGCACCTTAGCTCTGGCCATGAGCCCAGCACCATCCTGAGCTTGAATTTCCATTGGATATATTTCGTATTCTTCAAAATTCAGTGGTTCTTTATTTAATATTTCTCCAGTGTAAGAATCCAACTGAAATATTTTGGCCACTTTATGGTCTATATTGTGAAACGAGTATTTTACTTCCCCATTGGCTCCCTCATCTGCGTCTGTGGCATTTACCACGAGCAGTCGAGTACCCAGCGGCACATTCTCGGGGTCACTTGTGCGGTATTGTGCCTGAGTAAATGCTGGAGGATTGTCATTTGCATCCACTACCTGAACATGTATGTGAAGGGTGCCAGAGCGGACTGGATCACCTCCGTCCGAGGCAGTGAGGATGAGGTGGTGGACAGCTTCTTCTTCCCTATCTAGGGGACTCTGCAGCACCATCTCTGGGTGTTGAGGCCCATCAGCTCCCTGTTGCACATTCAGGGAAAAATGAGGGTTGGGGCTGAGCTGGTAGCTCTGGAGTGAGTTCATGCCCACATCAAGGTCTTGCCCAAATGGCGGAGGGATCCTGGTGCCTACTGTGGTTATTTCATTCATTTTAACTTCCCGTTCCTCTAACTGGAATTGGGGAGTGCTGTCATTAATATCAATTATTTCCACTTCGACAGGGAAAAGCTTCATTTTATCCTCTAGCAGGATATTAAAATTCACTATACACCGCGTGCTCTGAGCGCAGAGTTCCTCTCAGCCTACCCTCCCCGCCGTAATCAAACTGCCGCTTCGCGGGTTCAGAGCAAAAAACTACGTCTTCCCTCTGGAAACGATGCGAACTCCGCGCTCCGTCAGCTCCTGGGGTTGTAGCCCCAGGTTCTTGGCGACGTTGCCCACGCAGTAACCTTTGTCTCTTCTGACACGGAGTTGCGGATCTTCCCAGCCCTGGCTTCCAATAGCAGCCCCCAAAAAAGGCAGAGCCGGGCCAGCCCGCTGCAGCCAGGCAGCTTCGGCAGAATCGCCGTTGCTCTCGCTTCGTAGTTTTCTCCCAGTCCAGCACCAAGGATATCGTTTCTCTCCTGCTCTAGGCCTAAACCAATGGAATTTTCAGGAGACTTCAGGGCAGGAAGTTGTCCAGAAGTAGAGTTTGGGGCAGTCTCAGGACGACTGATTTTAATCTAGCGATGAATAAGGTTCTAAGAGGCACAGACTTTTTTTTTTTTTTTTTTTGCATGTGCGTGATTGCTGCGTGTGTCTCCCAGACTGGCGAACAGCGGCGCCCAGAGGCCTAACCAGTTACTGCACACCCAGAAAAACTCATTAACCTGATCTACAGTTTGTTTTAGTTGATTGCCAAGGAAGTAGTTAATCATTCTACAATATAAATATAAAAAAGATAAACTATCATGCCTATTTAATTAAACTTGTCTAAATGCCACTAAACTGCAATACACGGTAAAAATCCAGTATTCCCAAGCTATGTGCTTTCCTCTTTTAGTATTCCAGGAGTGGTAGAGAGCGCTTGAATAACACAAAGAGAACAAAACCACCGCTTCACTTCTTCTGCAGTATAGCTTGACAACTTTACAATTTCCCAAGCTACATAATCCAGGACAGCTGCTCTTTGACTGAAGGGTGAAAAAATCAGAAGTAAAAATAAACTTTTAGAAAGTAAGCTAGACTCTTTTTAAATTGGATCATCCCATTTCCTTTCCATTGTGCTCTGAATATTTATCAGAAGCCCTGAACTTTTGAAGGTCGTGTTTTACTCAAAAGTAATCTATTTTAAATAAAGTAACACTGATGTTGTTAGGTGCCGTGGAGTCAGTTCTGACTCATAGCAACCCTATGTACAACAGAACAAAACACTCCTGGTCCTGCTCCATCCTCACAATCATTGCTATGTTTGAGCCCATTGTTGCAGCCACTGTGTCAATCCATCTCATTGAGAGTCATCCTCTTTTTCACTGACCCTCTACTTCACCAAGCATGATGTCTCTCTCCAGGGACTGGGCCCTCCTGATAACATGTCCAAAGTACATGAGATGAAGTCTTACCATGCTTGCTTCTAAGGAGCATTCTGGCTGTCCTTCTTCCAAGACAGGTTTGTTCATTCTTCTGGCAGTCCATGGTATATTCAATATTCTTCACCAACACCATAATTCAAAAGCATCAATTCTTCCTCGATCTTCCTTATTCATTGTCTGGCTTTCACATGCATATGAGGTGATGGAAAATGCCAAGGCTTGGGTCAGGGGAACCTTGGTCCTGAAAGTAACATTGGTCTCTTGAAATTTCACAGGAAAAAATCACATGAATATATAATTTAATCTTCAAATTTAAGAGACTGAAGAGGTAGTGATATTATTCCTCAAAGCTGAAAAGAAGGCCAGATTCTTACTTTTAGACGTGCTATTAGAATAACATGTATTCCACTATCATCACACTTAATATTTTCCCCAAAAGAAGTTTGTTTTCTTAAATAGCAGTATTTTTTAACTAGGAAGGCAGATACATTGTCTTCCTTCTTTTACCTATTGCAGTATTACTAAAAGATAGCGAATAAATGTCTCATTTATTTATCTTTACCTAAAAGTTAGAAAGGAATGCTCTCTGCTCTCCAGACTTTGTCATTTTCCAGAAAAAACAGGGCCAGATACTGGCAGTCAACCCAGGGACGCCATGACGGAGAAGGGCCAGGAAAATGAGGGAAGAAAGGAAATAATTAAAAGCCACAAGAACAGTTCTTAGAAGGAGAGTTTCTGTTCTTGTATAACGGCTTCTCAAAGACAGGTATATGGAGCCAAAGGATAGAAATTTAAAGATGCAGTGAACTCTTCCAATATTGCAAGGGGAGGACTCTTTAACAGGAGATACAACTATTCAAAGCATATATTAATAGGCATAGTCAAACTTTCCCCCCAAAGAAATTGTCCATGCTAATGAAGTAAATAAAAATACATAGAAGCTAGCAAGTAAACTTGTAGAACCACCCTCCTCCCCCCAACAACAAAAAAGCAGGATTGATTTATAAAAGGATGATACTTGGGAAATAAAAATGTTAAAACTCACACTGAAAGCTATATTTGACTCCAATGTAATATTTAAGGCTTCATTAGTGGCACTACAGCGAATATCCAGTTGAAAGACGTGTCTTGAGTCAGCCTGAAGAAATTAAGTTTGAAATATCTGAAGACACACACAGATTGTAGGAATGGGGCAAATTTCCCTCACGGTAGTGGGGGCAACTCCAGACTTGGAGCGGAGACCAGTCTGAAAGCAGCAACCCGCCCCTCCCCCCCCCCAGCCCCCACAAGGCTGGAGGAGCGTCGCAGGTGCAGGGCCATCGTCAGAGCGACGGAGAGAAGGAAGAGCACAAGGATCAAGGTCAAGACCAAAGAAAACTGCAGTTTGGCCTGTCGGTTGGAGGGTGAGGCTGGGTCGCTGAGGTCTCGCAGCAGCTCCTGCAAACTGTCGGCGAAAACCAGGTGCAGCGTGAAGGCTGCCGTGCCGCGTCTTTGTTGCCCTCAGCGACATAGTGCGCACCTCGCCCGTGCGTATCTCTAGGTTCAAAGGGCCAGGATTAGCTGGACGGCAGCACGTGGTAAACCAGGCGTTGAGCCCCAGTGTGAGGCCACCTGGGTGAGAGCTGCACTTTGTATGGCGCCGTGTTGAAGAGGACTGCGCCGTCGGGCTCCCTCCCCCGGTACAGCGTCCTTGCAGTGTTTCCAAGACTGTGGTCCATCATCATAGGCAGGCTCAGGATGACTCAGAGCCCCGTCGGACTTTGGTCAAGGACCCGCAGAGTCAGCTCAAAGGTAGCTGAGCAAACACCATCCCCCTCTGCGCTCGCCGACACGTAGGACGACAGTGCTGGTGGCGGCCACTATAAAGTAGGAGGCGCAGCCGTTGGGACCCAGATGTGACTCTAAGGCACTAAAATGTGCTATGGAGGCGCTGGGCGGACGCTGTCGGCTGCCTGAAACAAATAGGAGGCCTGTTGGAAAACGGGAGCTTTATTGTCGATGTGGGTGATGCGCAGGGTGATGCTCGTGCTGGAGGAGAAGGACAGCTTGCCCCTGTCGGTGGCTGTGATGATGATGACATTGTACTTCAGGGTCTGCTCCCAGTTTAGGATTCCATCCGTCAGTAATTTACAAAGAATTACACAGTAATTCTTGGAAATGAAATTGTTTGCCAGAGACATCTTTTCTCTCTACAATAATTTCCACCTTCCCATTGAAGCAGGTCTCTTGGTCCTGTTGTTTTGGTTATGGCAAGCACAGTTCTTAGTCCAGTATTGCTTCTGTTAGGACTAGACCCCCAGATGAAAGTCACTTGCACTGCATTATAGTTCTCAACCTTCATTTCAACCAGGATTCTGAAACAGACCCTCAAATTGCTTCCAATTTTCTCTTCCATGCTGTAACTGTCACTCTTCAAAATCAAGTATTGTGCTGTCATTAGTTGGACAGTAAACAGAATATATTCTATACGCCCTGTGAGATTGTGTGGGAAGTGTAGAACTCTGCATGAAGGACCTCACGTGGGTCAGTGGGGATCACCTGAAGAACACAAAGGAGGCGCAGGAGGGCAGGTTCTCCTGCAGGCTAATTCTCCTGTACACCTTGTGGTTCAACATTGCAGGACTGTCATTGGCATCTGAGACCTGTATCTTGCCCTGAGCCGTTCTGCCTTCCCCCTCCCACCACTAACGGGTGACAGCTCTGCTCCTCCCAGTCCTCCCAAGGTCTCTCCAGTAGGAATTCAGAGGATTTACTGCCTTGCTCGCCTTTACTTAGGGTGGGGAATGGTTATTGAAACTAATCTGATAAATTTGTAGAGAATTGCTGCCGGTGCCCCAATCTATCGGGGATTCAAGAGTAAACCTTCCTCCTATTAAGACGTTTTCCGGGATTTCCAAGACAAAATGTCTATACTAAAAATCATTAGTTATCATTTATATCTAGAATGAATACATCTATACGAAAAACATTTATAGGATTTTCAGTGACGGTTTCAAATTCGAGGGGCCTAGAGACTTCCTTTGGCACATCAACTCTATCTATTTTGCCATTCCCAGCCAAGCTCGTCCCTGCTCTTTCCGCTCGCGGTAAACAAAGGCTTCTCAGCACTCACCAGTAGGTTTCTGGACATCCAGCCCCAGATCTTAGGCGAGATTCCCCATCCTTGAGTCCTTGGCCATCTCTTCCAGAATCTCGTAGTGCATCTGCTACGTAGTGCACTAGGCAGAACAAAGACAGCAGGAAGGGACACAGTACTTCCTGACGCTCCGCGCGCCTTCTCAGATCGGAATACACCCGCTACAGTTGCTTCCGGATTACAAAGGTGCGCTGGAAAGGAAAGACAGAGCCTCAGTCGGGGTCATTTCCTGTCGTGACGTTCCTAAACAAGATATTTGGAACAGATTGCTGGAGGGAGAGCTTGCAGAGATCGTTTCTCAAGGGGATCGCCGCGTCAGCATCGCCAGTGGATTGCTTTGCTTTACTCTAGCCACCGATTGGCGGACGGCGGCACCCAGAGACCCAACATGGTATCTACCGCATGTTATTTCTGAACGTCCTTAAAGACTGTCAGGACTTATTTTAGAGTTATCAGCTCATTTAGTATAAAGGGTGCAAACAGTTATTTATTTTTTTTGCCAAAATGTTAATAAAACGGTCCACAAAACTGAAATAAAACATTGTCGTCGTAATATCTTAAAATTCACGTCAACTTAAAATAAGAATCCTTATGAAATTTTCCCTTCTGACATTTCCTTTTGAAGAAGTCAATATACTACCGAAGCTTCCTTTTCTTAAAAAAATGGGTTACTCAATAACTTTCCCATCGTGAAAAGAGTTCTACATTATAAAAAGAAATTCTATGATATAAAAAAGAAATTTTCATTATAAAAAAGGTAGAAAATACTGATAAAAAATTTAAATCACCAGTAGTTGCATTATATCATTACTGATATGACTGTTTGTATTTTGATATCTATCTACACTTTTTCAATACATATATTCTTTTATCATTCCAAAAACAATCAGTTCTTTAATGGATACTATTGGTTGCCCTCCCCTTTCCTCTTTTCTAATATTTCTTTTTTAGTTCAGGCTTCTACCCCCTACTTCCTAAGAGGAAGCTGAACCTATTAATAGCTTCATTAGATCCTGATAAATGTATGCCAATAATGGTAATTTTATTCCTTTTGCCAGTGCTTGGTTTAGGAATATAGACTTAAAATAATAAGCTTAGGGCTGGATTTCTCACCCTTGGTACTACCGGCATTTTCAACCAGATAATTCTTTGTTGTGGGGGCTGTCCTGTACTTTGTAGGATGTTTAGCAGTATTCCTGGCCTCTACTTACTAGATGCCAGAAACACACCCCCCCACAGGTTGTGACAACCAAAAATGTCTCCAAAAAAACCCAAACCAAACCTGTTGCCATTGAGTCGATTCCAACTCATAGTGACCCTATAAGACAGGGCAGAACTGCCCCATAGGGTTTCCAAGGGGCGCCTGGTTGATTCCAACTGCTGACCTTTTGGTTAACAGCCATAGCTCTTAACCACTACACCACCAGGGTTTCCAAAATGTGTCTAGACATTATCAAATGTACCCCTTCCCACGTTGAGAAGCAAAAGTTTAGGGTACCTAGTGACTATTATTGAGCTGGAGATAGATACATGGCCTAAACTGGTCCAATTAGATTGAAAGAAAAACTTTGGTCAGGGGAGAGCCACTCTCTTAACTTGCCATGGACAAGGAAGGAAATTTTCCAGTTACTGTTGGCAGTCACTTTAGGACCACTATGGTAGCCAGCCTTTGAAAGTTTACAGGCAGATGAGGGTGGAGCTGAAACAATAATGGAAAAAGTAGAAATAAATGTTAACTCTTCAAAATTAGGAAAAGAAAAAACAAATTGTGCAGGCAGTATTTATTTCTTGCCTAGAGCCAGCCATACTTCTAGGCCTGTGCAGTCCAATACAGTAGCCACAAGCCACATGTGGCCATCGATCACCTGACATGTGGCTAGTCCAAAATGAGATGTGCTGTTAAGTGGAAAATACACATGAGATTTTGAAGACTTAGTACAAAATAAGAATGTAAAATATATCATTAATAATTTTTATATTGATTACATGTTGAAATGATAATATTATATATGTAGGATTAAATAGATTACTAAAATTTATTTCACTTGTTTCTTTTTACCATTTTATTGTGGCTGCTAGAAAATTTCAAATCCCATATGTAGCATGTATCTGTGGCTCTCATTATATTTCTATTGGACAGTGCTGCCTATTTTCTGAGATAATAAATTTTCTTATTGTTTAAACTAGTGTACACTAGTTTTTTTTTTTTACCCCTATAGAGAGCTTCCTCCTTGATACAGGAGACTGTTGTACATATTTTTAGGTAACCTGATATTAAAAAAATATGGTGATATAGCAATAAATAAGCTTGCTTTTTTTGGGGGGGAGTGTTTGCTATTCCTCATCCTATAATTTCCTACCTACCAAATATAAGCAGGACTTCTCCCATCATCTGTAGTTGAAAGTTCATTGAAGGGAATTTTCAAACATATAGTATTAGCAGTAGCCTGACTGTCATACTCCTTTATCATAAGTGCCTTTATTAAAGGCTACACAGGAAGCCTTTGGAGGAATTGATACCACACTGAAGAACGTCTTGCTCTCCCCAAATTTTTGGTTCACTGGCATCACAGATATTCCATGGAACAACCACAGGATTGGTTCACTGGTATCACAGATATTCCACGGAACCACCACAGGAGGGTAATTCTTTCCATTTAGAGTCTGTGTTTTTCTGTCTAAATGGATTAAAAAAAAAAAACAGCTGGAGTTATCAATGGACATTAAGGTGATAGTAATGTAGGAGAGACCTTAGTTTTTAGGTCAATATAATTTTACCTCAAGTACAGCATGTAGAGGGTCAGTGAAAAAGAGGAAGACGCTCAGTGAGATGGATTGACACAGTGGTTGCAACAATGGGCTTGAACATGGTAATGGTTGTGAGGATGGCAAAGGATCAGGCAGTATTTTGTTCTGTTGTACATAGGGTTGCTATGAGTTGAAACTGATTCAACAGCACCTAACACAATAATATTGCATTAAGATCGTGTACTATACTCAAAAGTAGATACTATGCTTCAGGATGGAAGGGGCTAGGTACTTCAGGGAAATCCAGTTTATCTCTAATTATCTCCATCTTCCATTTAAAGGTTTACTAACTAAAATGCTTCCTAATTTTGGAAAATCAGAATGTGATAGAATTTATTTCAAGCTATTTTTGATGACAAGAATATTTGAGCATCACAAAACTAATAGGGAATTAAAATGCAAAATAATATTTGGATTATTGTCATGTGTAAGTATGACCTAATATTTTGTATGGATAAACAAAGCATTATGAAGAAGTCAGCATGTTAAATTCTTGTATCTGTAAAATCAGGTATAACTGAGGGACAAGCACATTGAAAAAATTTCATCACAAAAGAGGAAATAGATCATCCTGGAAATTAAGCATGAGTAAACTAACATTCTTGAACATATTGTAGGACAAAGAGAGATAATGTGCAGTCATCTGGAAGGGCATAATCTCTCCTTCCAAATTAGCATTAAAAAATCAAACTGGTACCAGGCCATTTTAATTTCTTCCCATGATGCAATAACATAGTCTACACAAAAGAGGACATATTCACGCAAACTATTAGTAAATCTCCCCCGCCTCATAACAATTGGCAGTCTCATTTGCTAGACAGAAAAACATAACCTTATATATTAGAAATATATATAAAGTGGCTCTATATCATTTAAAGGTGACACAGAATCTATTTTCTCTCACAAATTATTATAGGATTAAGCCTATATTTATGTTCTTTCTAGATGGTCAATTGAATTATTCAGTTAGCAAAATTTTTTGTGTCTATCTCCCGTGTTCTGGAACTAGGCACTGGGACACAAAGAACTAGATAGAAAAGGTCCCTAACGATGATGGAGCTTTTAGTCTGGGGTGGAGAAAATTAAGATATACATAAATAAAGCAATTTCGGAATAGTTGATGCAAGTTTAAGAGTGTTCTTTTAAATTAAGAAAGTTATCTTAAGGATAGGAAATTAAATTATAAATCATCTTGATGCTTTACCAAACTGATCCTATTTAAAAAACAAATGAAAATGAGTACGAATAACTGGAAACTGTTACATAGTTACACCAAAATACTATAAATAGATGTTGATAAATACCTGACTTTCCGTAGAAGAGACAGGCAGCAAAGAGCAAAACAGTAGAGGTGAAGTGAAAAAAATTCCAAAGTGATTTCCAGAAGCATTAAAATATTACTGGTGAGAGGCAGGGAATACTACTTCAATTATACTCTAACAGACCATCTATCTACCAGACAATTCTGTCCTAAATGAACAATGCCTTCAGAAGAACACTTATTTCTCTGTTTACATTTATATCTACGTCAAGCACATTAAAAGGAAAAATCACCCCTGTTCCTCTGAAATCCTTCAAAATAGAAATAGATCCAGAGATCATGGGTTCTCTGGGCATTTTCAAAATCAACAAAATGTAGACATTGAATTATTTGGTGGGCAGCATTGTCCTCCTCATTGCCCTGATTTGGGTACTTTAAAACCCACTGCATGGTTAGTTATAAATTCTTGTACTGGCTCCGATGGGATATTCTCGGGGACGGGGAGGAATTCGAGCTGTTTCCAGAAGCAAATACGCTTCCCGCACAGACGCGGTTATCTCCAGGAATCACCTGGAAGCCTAGACGCTGTCCGGCTCCAAAGCGATACGGTAAAAGCCCCGGCTTAACAGGGAAGGGAGGAAAGAAAGGCGGATCTGTGTCTTTCTTGGAACCGTTGTCTATAAATATTTTCAAACCAATAGCTCTTTATGAAACATTGTCATTTTCATCCCATTAATGCCTCATTCTCACGACAATCTTTTCACGCCGGGCAGCATAACTGCGCCTGCGTGCGCTTGGGCGGCCCGCACTTCCGCTTGGGCCGTGCTGTCACTCACAGCCGCTTCCCGCCCGCATCGTGACGTAGCGCTTTCTTCTCCGCTAGTTCTGCAGCTGTGGATAAACGCCTGCTGAGCTTCTCTGCTGCCGAGCTGCCGGGTCAGGCTCTCGGAGTTGCGGTCTTGGCGAGCTTTTGCGCTGCCCATCCTGGGGTCTTTCGTTGGTAATCAGCAGCGGATCACTTTGCCAAGCGCCAGAAAGAACAAAGGAATCGAGGAGGCTCTCGGCTCCCAGCCCCCTTGCTCCGAGCGGCTTTTCTTCCGTCTGCTTCTCTCCGGAGAAACTGCATTTATGATCGTCACTGGATTGTAAGTACTCGAGGCGAAGAAAGCTCACTGCCCCCTCTTTTTGAATATCTTTGTTCCGGGAGAGTTTGTGGATTGGGAGTGTCTGCTGGGCCTTATTTTCCGTGCGGAAAAATCATTCCGTAGGAACCGCCATTTGCTTTCCTGCTTGCCTGCTCTCTCTGCGTTGTCCGGTAGCGGCACCTACAGGTTGGAACTTGACATTGCATCTAATTGATTTAAATGAAAGTAACTGAATAAGCGAATGTGTCAGTAACGACTGGTATTCAGTCACAGCATATTTAGAGAAAAGACCTGGGGTTTAATTCAGAATTAAAATAAAACACGCTTAGCTGCGGTTCTGCTAAGAACTCTTTGTAATTAAGGATTTCAGTTCATTACAAAGTGGCCTTTCTAACTGTTGCGATAATTGGAATTTTATAGTGAAGCAAGTTCTTTTCAGAGGAGAAGTGAGTCACAGAGAAATAAAGATGAGTAAGAGCAAAGATGACGCTCCTCATGAGCTGGAGAGCCAGTTTATCTTACGCCTACCTCCGGAATATGCGTCGACTGTGAGGCGGGCAGTACAGTCTGGCCATGTCAACCTGAAAGACAGACTGACAATTGAGTTACACCCTGATGGTCGTCATGGAATTGTCAGAGTGGACCGGGTTCCATTGGCCTCAAAGTTGGTAGATCTGCCCTGCGTTATGGAAAGCTTGAAAACTATTGATAAAAAAACTTTTTACAAGACAGCTGATATCTGTCAGATGCTTGTAGCCACAGTTGATGGTGATCTCTATCCTCCTGTGGAAGAGCCAGTTGCTACTGCTGATCCCAAAGCAAGCAAGAAAAAGGATAAGGACAAAGAGAAAAAGTTTGTCTGGAACCACGGAATTACTCTGCCTCTGAAAAATGTCCGAAAGAGAAGGTTCAGGAAGACAGCGAAGAAGAAGTATATTGAATCTCCAGATGTGGAAAAGGAAGTGAAGCGGTTGCTGAGTACAGATGCAGAAGCTGTCAGTACTCGTTGGGAAATAATTGCTGAAGATGAAACAAAAGAGACAGAAAATCAGGGCCTTGATATCGCCTCTCCAGGAATGTCTGGGCACAGGCAGGGTCATGACTCATTGGAACATGATGAACTTCGAGAGATATTCAATGACCTCAGCAGCAGCAGTGAAGATGAAGATGAGACACAGCATCAAGATGAAGAAGATATAAACATCATTGACACCGAGGAAGATCTGGAGAGACAGCTACAGGACAAGCTAAATGAATCAGATGAACAGCACCAAGAAAATGAAGGAACCAATCAGCTGGTTATGGGAATTCAGAAACAAATTGATAACATGAAAGGCAAGCTGCAGGAGACCCAGGACAGGGCAAAACGACAGGAGGATCTCATCATGAAAGTGGAGAACCTGGCTCTGAAGAACAGATTTCAGGCAGTGCTGGATGAACTCAAACAAAAGGAAGACCGAGAAAAGGAACAGCTCAGCTCTTTGCAAGCGGAGCTAGAATCACTCTTAGAGAAGTAAGAAGAGCTTTGATACTTACTTTGTCTTTAGACAGGCCATTAAAAGAAAAACCTTGGACTGGATATTATGATCTTGCAATAGTCCCCATTCCCTCCACTACCTTCTATTGAATCTATCCCATTTTAAATCATTTGGCTAGGTGTTTATCTTGTAGGAAATAGGATTGTATAAGCATAAAAATGTAGGAAAGTTGTAGGATTAGTGGAGTGAACGATTTCAACCTTAATAATTACAGCTTCACTGCAGGTCTTTGCTGTTGTTTCTCTGTTTGCCAGAAGCTGTTATTGCTGCTTTATGGTGCCTTCTGAGATCAATAAGAGCCTAGCCTAGAGGCAGTGAAGCTAGTTTGCAAATTTTTCCCTGTGCAATAGTTATTTTCCCCCTGTTCAAAGCAATCATTTCCATCTGTAGAGATGCAAATTATTTTATGAAGTTGTTTCTTACACAATAAAAGCAGCTAATTTTCACTGCATAATGTGTCTTGTTCTTTTATCGGTAGTGGGAGTCAGATCCTCTCGTGGGGTGTTTTCTTGGTGGGGTTTAATGGCTGAGTAGTTTGATCCCTTTTTGCAGCTAAAGCAGCAGCTATGTTGTGTTTTAGGTAAAAGAACACAGTAGGGGCAAAGAAACTGGGAAATGTCATATTTGCATTGAATTAAAGTTCCAATTCTATTTCATTTGGAGATCAGGGAACTCTAGGTACAGAACCTTCCTAAACTACATTTTTGTAGGTTAAGGTTTATTTGTACCTTTTTTAAAGTACTAAACTCATTTGCTTAAAATGTTTGAAAGTAATGACAAGTGCAGATCAGTAAAGCTACTGGTTTGAATTAAAATTATATTTCTAAATATTTTCCATTTAATTCCTGTAGTCATTTAGTCTGAGAACTGAGGTGATTTATCCATGTCAGTTCATCAAAATTACTAATAAGGGAAGTCAGTATCATAGTCTGATATTTCAAAATTTCTTAAACATAGTTTTCATGGTGTTTTAAACTTTCCATGTTCTAAAGATGATCTAATGCCTCACATGAGCTAGTTTTGAAAAATCAGTCATTGATAAAATTTACCAAATGCAGAGTTGCATGCAATTAATTTCTGATAGATTGGTTTATAAAAAAAGCTTTGGTTTGAAAATACCAGCCTCATGAAGCAAACATTTAAAGCCCACTTTAATTTTGTATTGAAGAGGAAACAGTAGTGGTGAATTTTTTTTTTTTTTTAAAAACAGTTCCTCAGACCTTAAGTCTACAATCATAAATACTGATATTTGGAGACTTCACTTTTTTCTTACCAAAATATTTTCACAATTCTCAGATTTCAGTACAGACTCTGGAGGTTTAAACAAAGATTCCCTTAATGTCTAGGCTTTGGACTATTTCTCGAAGTTTGCAAATAAGAGGTAAGTTTTCTTAACACATTAGGGTGGTAGGCAACAAATTCCGTTCTAGTACATCTAGGCATTTTGCTACGTTTATAAGATTGACACCTGTAAAATGGTGGTAGTACCATCAGAACCTGTCTTTATGGGGAATGATGACCAAGATCAGCCCAAAGTCGATTCCTGTGAGGTAGAAGTCAGACATACCTCCATTTTCCAACGTTTTTACCAATTCTGATACTAGCCATCCCTGCCTTGGCACTCTACATCTCTGCTGGGTTTGATAATCTGTTGCAATGGCCACGCAGAACTCACAGACATAGTTAAAGCTAAACAGTTTATTAAGGACAACTTGGCATCAGGATTAACAGGCTACAAGTCGGGATCAGAATCAGGAAGCATGTAGGCAAAGCTTGGAAGGCGCCCCCAAAGTGAACAGCACGTCTGTCCCATCTTCAGTGCAGGGTAGCTCTCTCAGCAACTATCGGCCATGCAAGCAAGCAGACCCTTCTCTCTGCCATGCATGCCCCATGTCAGCCATGCAGACCTCCTCTTGACACCCTGAGGACAGGCTTCTTGGCCCTGTCAGGACAGGCCTCTTGGCCTTCAGCCTCCCTGCTGTCACCACTGACTCTGCCACAGGGCCCCTTCTGGGCCAGTCACTGCTGGCTCTGCCACAGGGCCCCTTCCAGACCTGTCACTGCTGGCTCTGCCACAGGGCCCCTTCCTGGCCTCTCGCTATCTTTAGTGTTGCAGCCCTTGACCCATGTTACAGCTCTTTTAGGAGGTTCCTTGTTTCCTGTTTCTCTGCTGCTTCTCTATCCTTTCTTCTGCTGCTGTCTGCCCACCTCTGTGGGATTGTTATATATAAGCAAACTCATTAATTTCAAGGCATGGCCCTCCCACCAGGGCCACAAACTGACCAGTCTCCTCTCGTTAGGCCACAGACACATCATTTGCAGAGTAGGCCATAGTCACTTCATTTGCATAAGTATACTGACCAGTCCTTAGGCTGCAGTCCAGGGCTAGATAAAAAGTATCAAACAATAAGTTGTTTATAGCTTACTCAGTAAATATTAACCTGGACAAAAGTAAGAAACTCCGTGGGGTAGAAAACTAGGGCAAAAGTAACTCCTCAGGACTTGGGGGAAAAATCCCTCAAGCAGTTTTTCCAAAGAACCAAGGCATAAGGCCACATAAAGGAACTAATTTCACAGCACCTGAAAAGTCACCACCGTATTTGGCTTTACATAAATCATTTATCAAAATAATTCTTACCAAGATCTCAACACCATTAATGCCTCAGTTCCATCTGTGGCAGAAAGGACAGGTGTTCGATACACTAACAAAATGGCCTAGTAATCTCATCTACTGTGTTTCAATTATTAACTCTATGCTGATGAGTCTCAAATCCATAATTCTAAGCCTGATTTCTTTCCTGAGCTTCAGATTTAGTATATTCTATTAATATTGAGTGTACTGGAAACACTCACTTAGAAATACCCCTCAGGCAACTCAACTCTGAATGTCTGAAATCAAACTTACTAGCTCTTCCATTCCTTGAAAACCTGCTTTTCCTCCTATTTTATTACTGACGGAAAAAAATGACACTACCACTCACCCCAGTTACTGCAGCTAGAAACTTAACCCATACTTTTGACTTCTGCATTTCCCTCACTACTTTGATCCTACTGATCCTATATCCTAAATAGCTCTTCAATCACTCTGCTTTATCCCCACTACACTGCCCTAGTTAAGCTGTTACTATCTCTTGCCTAGCAAATGACAATAGTTTCCTAACTTCTCTGTGTGTTTGTCTACATAAAAAATATATTACATACTATACACACACATACACATATATATAGATATACATATATGTACGTATGTAATTTTTTTCACCATCCAATTTGTTTTTTGACTGCCACCAAAGTGATCTTTCGAAATGATTTGATCATGTCATTTCTCATGCTTAAAACCCTTCAGTGGTACATCATTGCTCTCAGGATTAAGCTTCTGTTTCTTAAAAAAGATGTACAAGATTATAAGTGCTCCATTTACCTTTTCAGTTCCCGTCTCATCACATTCCCTCGCTATATGTTCAATCCATTCTGATATTATTTACATATTTTCAGGAAGTTTAATTACTCTTCTTCACTAGGCCTTACCAGTTGTTACCAGTTGCTGCTCAGTCAATTCTGACTCATGTCAACCCCATGTGTGTTATAGTAGAACTGTGCTGCATAGGGTTTTCAGTGGTTGATTTTTGGGAGCAGATGGCCAGGCCTTTCTTCTAAGGTGCCTCTGGGTGGACTCAAACCTCCAACTTTTCAGCTGGCAGCTGGGTGCATTAACCATTTGCACCACCCAGCGACTGAGTGGGCCTTAGAGCCTTTTAACATACTGTTGACTCCAGCTAGAAGACTCCCCTTTGTCTGGGACTCCTACTTAACTATCAGGTCTCAATCTAAATATCACTAACTCCAGCAAGGCTTTCTTGACCTCCATCTGGTTTAAGTGAATTACTATGGCTTTGCCTGTACTCTGTGCTTTCCTTTCTCATTCATTCAAAATTTTTTTTTGTGCCAAACACTGCTGAAGTGCTGAACCAAACATTTAGTGTCTATAATCTCATGTATTCTACAGTCTACTGGGGTAAATATTGCCTGTTTATTATAAAAACCAAAACCAAAGCCAGTTGCTGTCAAGTTGATTCTGAGTCGTAGTGACCCTATAGGACAGAGTAGAACTGCCCCACAGAGCTTCCAAGGAGCGTCTGGTGGATTTGATCTGCCGACCTTTGGTTAGCAGCCATAGCTCTTAACCACTACACCACCAGGTTTTCTCCATTTATTATACTAAAATGTGAATTACCTGCTGTTCACACCCCCAGTTAGGCTGTAAATTTACCAAGAGCAGGCCCTTTGGCTTGTTACTGTAAACTTATTAAAGAGTAATAAAGAGATTAAGATTTCAAGGTCAAGATGTAGTGCCCAGATTTGTATCCTAGCTCAGTGGCCTATTAGTCGTGTGATCTTTGGCAAGTAATCTGTTTGCCTCAGTTTTATCATCTCTAAAATTACCTACCTCATAGGGTTGTTGGCTGAGTTGATAAACATGTAAAGAACTTAGAACAATGCCTGGAATATAGTAAAAGAACAATAAAAGCATATTGTTATTGCCTATTTGCTAGGCTTTGGAACATAACAGGGATTAAATATTTGTTGAATTAAAGAGTGATTGAGAATGGTAGAAACTGTATAAAGAAACAGCTGTTTTAAATGTGATTGGCTAATTTCAAATTTAAGAAGTCTTCCTAAGTCAAAGCTTATAAATTAGATTATAGAAGAAGCAAAGTTTGCTTCAAATAATACTGTAGCATGAACAAATGGATTCAGTTTTCTAGTGTAGCTTTGTTTTTTATTTATTTATGGATGACCTTTCATTAATTTTGCAAAGACTTCGTAATGGAGTAATTATCTGTTATATAAACTTTAAAAGGGAAAATCTCACCTAAAGAATTTTGGGACCCATTTCCCTTCAAGTAAATCCCAAGTTAACATAAAAGACTCAGTTTTCTCACAGCTCCCTTGGCTAATGAGGGTGTCTCTGTAGTTGGGCTATAGTTTTTAGTATTTTTGGGTTCATGAACAGGATTTTTGGAAGAACTTAAAAAATGGTGTTTTAAAATATTACAGAAATAAAAGATTCTCTGAAAAATTTAAACAATACAGAGACAAAAAATAAAAAGTAAAGTCATTCCCCTCACACCAGCTTTCCAAAGTAAAATACTCTTAACATTCTGATGTTATCATTCCAGACCCTTGTTTGATATGCAGTCAATTATATCTATATATGTAATTTTGTAAAACAAAAATGTGGTTTTCTATAAACACTATTCTGCAACTATATCACTCAAAAATATATTGTGTACAGGGAAAGTCAGCACAACTGGACTAAACAAAAAACTAAGAAGTTTCCTGAACACAACCAAACACTTCGAGGGACAGAGTAGCAGGGGCGGGGGTCTGGGGACCATGGTTTCAGGGGACATCCAGGTCAATTGGCATAACAAAGTTTTTTAAGAAAATGTTCTGCATCCCACTTTGGTGAGTGGCATCTGGGGTCTTAAAAGCTAGCGAGTGGTCATCTAGGATGCATGTTTGTCCCAACCCACCTGGAGCAAAGGAGAATGAAGAACACCAAAGATACAAGGAAAATATTAACCCAAGAGATGAAAAGGGCCACATAAACCAGAGGCTCCATCAGTCTGATAACAGAAAAAGTAGATGGTGCCCAGCTGCCGCCAATGGCGACCCTGACAGGGAACACAGCAGAGAGTTCCTGACGGAGCAGGAGAAAAGTAGGGTGCAGAACACAAATTCTAGTAAAAAGATTAGACTTAATGGTCTGACTGAGACTGGAGAAACCCCAGGAGACATGACCCCTGGACTCTATTAACCCAGAACTAAAACCATTTTGAAGCCAACTCTTCAGACAAAGATTAGACTGGTCTATAAGACATAAAATGATAGTCGTGAAGAGTGTGCTTCTTAGTTCAAGTAGATACACAAGACTAAATGGGCAGCTCCTGTCCGGAGGTGAGATGAGAAGGCAGAAAGGGGTAGGAGCTGGCTGAATGGACATGAGAAATCCGGGGTGGAAAGGAGGACTGTGCTGTCGCATTATAAGGATAGCAACTAGGGTCACATAACAACGTGTGTATAAATTTTAGTATGAGAAACTAACTTCAGTTATAAACTTTCACTTAAAGCACAATAAAAAATGTATATATAGTGAATTTCCTTGCTTATCAGCATATATGAATCTATTTTTTTATTGATATAAATATTTTCTTAATTTTATCCACTCCCCTATTGATGGTCATTTAAGTTATTCAATTTTTTATTTGCTATTACAAAGAATGTTGTATAAACATTTGTCTTAGTTTCCTAGAGCTGCCATAACAAAATACGACAAAATAGATGGCTTTAAAGAACAGAAATTAATTTTCTACAGTTCTCGAGGCTGAAAGTCCAAATTCAGGTAATTGGTAGAGCTATGTGCTCTCTCTCTCTGGCTCTAGGAATTCTTCCTTGTCTCTTTCAGCTTCTGGGAGCCCTGTATGTTTCTTGGAGTTCCTTGGCTTGTAGACAGATCCTCACATAGTGTCTTCCCCCTGTGTGTGACTGTTTCTGTGTATGTTCTTCTTTTTTATAAGACACCACTCAGGCCCATATACCAATATGACTTAACTGATAATATCTTCAAAGAAAGATCATATTTCCCAAACACAGTCATGTTCACAGATAGGTACAGGGGTTAGGACTTCAACATATCATTTTGGGGGACGCAGTTAATCCATAACAACATTCATGTGTATATGGATTCCATTTTGCATTGTATCTATAGATTAGGTAAATGAGATCTTTTATTCAATTTTAAATGTCAGAAAGCCTCACATTTTGAATTTGGAAATAAAATGAGATGAAAATTTTAGACAAATTTTGAGTACAATTCATGTTTCTGAAAGACTGTGTCTTGAACTCTGGTTTTTATTGTACAGTAAGAATTCTAAGCAAAAATAGACTAGGGAAGTCTGTGCTCACTACACAGCAACCACTTTGGGTTTCTTTCTGTACTTCAAATGCTAAGCTCTTCTCCACTACAGAACTTTAGCTCTCGCAGTTTTTTCTTGGAAGTCTCCAGATATTCTCATGGCTAGCTTTTTGTTATTCAGGCCTCAGCTCAAACCTCACTTCCTCTGGTAACCCTATCTAGCTACTCAATCTAACTGCTAGGGAGCATGTGATTTGGGTGTTATCATCTCATTGTGTCAAGGATAGTGACTCACTAAAAAAACTGGAAGCTTCTTTGCCATTATTTTCTGGTATGTATGCTTGGGAGGACATGTGCTTAGAAGCAGAATTATCATCTACTAATTTTGGTTAGTTAGAGTCAAGAAAAATGGTTTCAGTTGCTTAAGACTGCCTATTGGCTTGGACAGTGTTTAGATAGGCTGGCCTCTATTCTCTCCAAGTCCAGCTGCTTAGTCAACTATGTTTCTCTACTATTTGTGTAACTATGTCTGATAATTCAGTGACAGTGTAGATCATTTTTCTATTAAAGCCCTCATATTGGTTCCTACCTTTGGTGGTTAAGAAGTATGGTTTTCAATGTAATATTTGCCTTCAAACTAGCTTTGTTTAATAAAACAGGCACATACTAGGACATTATCATTTACATTTATCTATAGTTATGAGTATGTGGGCTCCTCCAGATTTGAAACTGTCACTGTTTCATTTCTGGTGGTCGCAATGAGATGATGAAATGATTGTTCTTCCTTTTCTAAATTGGTCTATAAGATCAGCTCTACAGTAGTCTCTCTTTTTGTTATAATTTTAATGTCTAGGGAAAGATAATCACTTTACAGATTATAATTTGCAGAGAATTTATTCCCATATCAGAGTTTTGAGTATCCTTGAATTGGTATTTATGAATTGAATATGCCAGGTGATAGTCTTTCACTGATTTTAAGGTCTGTCTACTTATATGAGAATGCCCATGAATTATCAATGATAACTAGAATTTCAATATCTTCTTGGTAAAGTTTCAGCGGGTTTTGAACAATTATTCAAAAATTAAAAGGCCTTGGCTTTTCCCACCACACATCTCTTCATAATTAATGATACTGTTGAAGCATATGACCTTATTCTCTAACCTTCTAATGAAATGCATTCTACCTTCAGAAACAATGCAGACTATGTCCTGAGACAGCTCTATTCTGAAGTCCTTGGCTGTTACTCATGAGAGATACTTGTTCCATTTGAGGTGCACACAAGGTCCCGGCAAAACGAACCCACTGAAGGGGTAGTGTCACAACTCAGCCATTTTTAGATCTTTTTGAAGCTTCCTCAAATTTCTGTATCAAAAATCTCTGTTTCAAGTTCTTTTGCCTATAAGAACTTGTATCCTGCCTTCCATTACTAGCAAATATATGGTTAATGTAACATATTTATCAAAAAATTTTT